TGTAGTAGTGGTAGGGCCTGGGGTATGCCCCTTGTAATCGTGTAATTTTTGTTTTGTTTTATTTATTCTTATTCACCCAAAAAAAAAAAAAAAAAATTGCAACTCTTCTTTTATAACTTGTTAAATTTAAAAAAAATCAAAATAATAGTAAAACAAGAGAATTCTCTCAATAAACTATATATTATTAAGTAAAATCCGTAACAATCTTATTGATAATCAAATAGAAATTATAAATAATAATAATAAAAAACACAATACTAAATATTTAAACATGAAATTAAATACTAAATAAAAAAGAAATTAAATATTTTGATTTTTAAAAATAATCTTAATCAAATACTAAAATAAAAAATAAAAAAATATGATATTTAAAAAAAAATAGTGAAATCTATATCATATGAAAAAGTCACACAATTAAAGAAAAATGAGGCTTCCTTTGGGAAGCAAAAGTTTGGTTATTTTACGCACAAAAAACAAAATAATTTTTTTAATTTAATAAGATAAAATATCACATCAAACTCATAATTATTAGATTCTTTCTCTCACAAAAAAGTCAAAAAAAAGCCTAAAACCCTTCTTAAATCAAGTTTTTTAATCCCAAATTAAAATAATAAAAAAAAATTAAAAAATAAAAAAGCCAACCCACTCTTCCAACGAATCCTGAATGAAATATTTAGAAGTGATCACCTCCTTTTTGTTAGAAGGTTTAGCTTGACCTTCCTTGCCAGAGTGAGGGGGGTTGTCCTCCGGATCTAGGTCCAGGTCCGGCCTGAGTACAATATAGAAGCTTTGGACGTCATCTGGGCTATGAGCTTCTTCTTTGTCTACTTTAGGCCTGTAAAAGAAGTATATTTCCCCTCTTTCCTGCACACACACACACTAGTAATTTGGTGAGATGACAATTATACAATAATATATTACTACTACTATAAAATGAAGTAAAAACTCTCTGATGAGTAGAGAGAGATTGAGAGGAGAGAGAGAGAGAGACCAGAATCTCAATATGGGGTTCGGTTCTGGTCTTGAATTCTTGGCCGTGTCCCATTTCGATCAAAATTAAAGATGATTTTGATGGATGTCCTCCTCTATTTATTTATTTTCTTTTCTGAATTTGCTGTAATAATTATGCTTTTTAGCTTTTTTCTTCAATTCTTCGTTTCTTGATTTTGATGATTTATACAGAGCAAAGCAGTTGCAACTTACTGTTGCTACGTAGGTACGAGGAGGATTCTAGGCAGGACACGAAGTATGCAAATATACTCTGCTACTGGAAACGTGTCCTCCTCCTATTCTCCATATATGGATGAGGTCGGGAGCGTATTGTTGGAGATGTGGGGTTCATCTCCGATATAATTTTAATAATTTAAACAGTTTAATATTATAATTTGTCAAGTATTTTATTCATGTAAAAAAATCACATTAATTAGATATGAATACTTATTTGATTGGATCATATTTTTATTAATGATAAATATAATTTAAAAAATAAATTATTGATAAAAATATGTTCTGATTAAGTGACTATCGATATCCGATCAAAATAATTTTTTACAAAGATAAAATACTCAACAAGTTCGACATATTGTCAAAATTAGACCTGTGGTAAACTCCGCAAGTAAATAATATCATCTAATTTACTTTGTGAACCGAAGATAATCTGTATCCTTTATATTTTATTTTGTAGATATCATTGTGAATTCACAACAATGATACCAATCGTTCATTTAGTAAATAAAGATCATATGTTATGCATAAAAAAATCAGATTTATTGATATTTATAAATAGATGAATAGATTATATTTTATTTTATAAAATAAACGATTTAAGTTTAAATTTATTATTATAATCTATTTTTTAAAATGAAATATAGCTTGTTAATATATCTAGTGAAATTTAATAAAATTAAATTTTTATACAACTCATCTTTATTGTTTAGTTGAGATGAACAATTCGAATTATCATTACAAATTCAAGATAAACTTCATAAAATAAAAAGTATCAAACTGGTCTCTATAAACATTAATTTTTGTTTGAATAATGATATAAAACAAAAATATTATAGTATAATTTTTTTTTCCAGAAAATGATTTAACAAATTTATGTCTTATCATTTTGTAATAATAAAACACTTTTCGTAATAGCGTTATTTCAAAACTACCGTTGCTGCAATTTTTATTTATTTACCAATTTATCAATCAATTCTTTTAATTTTAGGGTTCTACATATAAAGTGAAGACTATTGATGGTATAAAAAGTATACAAAGAGGAAGACGTGTCTCGAACTCAACACCTTCGATTTAATAATAGAAGCTCTTACCATATTATTTGTGTATTTTTAATAATGGGCCTAGAACTCATACTTCTAAGTAAAAAGTACGCAAAAAGCAACACGTATTATTTGTGTATTTTTGTTTGTCATTATTCTTATAATGTTTTTTTTTTTTTTTTCTCGAATTGCACATACATTGCATATGTTAGTAATATTAATGTGATTCTCAAATTTTAAGTCTTTCTTTAGAGTCAATGTTACCCTTAAACTTTTATTTTTTCTTTTTAAACCCTTCAACTTTAATAATCAAGTCAACATAGTCTAATTCATTAATATATGTAAGAAAACTGTCGTGTACTTCTAAATTTATTTAATTTCAAGATTTCAACTAAGTAAATGATAGTAACGTGACGAGAAAATAAATACAGAGTGAAAATTACTAAAAATAAATACAGAGTGAAAATTACTAAAAATTTCAGTTAAAATTATTTACTTCTTATGAGAAAATAATAATTTCATATTATTTTCAGTATTTTATGAAGTAGTTAGTCTATTAGTCCATCTCACCTTTCCTACATTAGTACGTGGAATGCACTATTTCGATATATTATTGAGCTTTAAATTTTTTGAATTATTTTTAACAATTTTATTGAAAATATATATGATGTTACAGTGTATCATGTAAAAGTTGATTTTCATAAGTTTTTTAGAACTAAAACTCTGACATAATAAATCTTGTTGAATAACTCCTGCTTAAAAGAATTTCCGCGGTGCGACTTCTTTCTCTTGAGAAAAATTCATGTGCTTACTGATCATTTTAAAGGCATTACTTTTTGGCTGCACCAAAAAAATATAAATGCTTGTAGTCTTTTCTTTTATTGATATAATCTAGTTGTACTTGTCGCAGTTTGTTTTGCATCAATAATTTTATTTTCTTTTGCTGATGAAAAAAAAAAATGTTCAAAATTAAAAACCAATTCATTGATTTGTTTTTGTGACTATTTCTATTTTTTTTGTCATTATGTAATTGAAATGATGTTTAACATATCATCAAATTTTTATTTTATTTTATTTTTTTTTTGTCCTCGTCATCACCATTTAAAACAGAATCTTGGAAATATATATGTTGTAAAACATAGCCTAGTCACTCCTAGGAAAGTACATCCAAAATTTAGTATGACAAATATAATGAGAAAAAAGAGAGTATACAAGACTGTATTATTGTTGTGTTTGTAAGATCACATCTTTGGAATAAAATCTAAGTTAAAAAAGGAAAATTCAATACGGTTGTGAAAGTCAGGAGCGTATGAAGCAATGAAGATGAGGAAGAACAGTAGAGAAACTGGCAACTTGATAGAGTTTCCATCCGATGTTGATGGCACGGTCTTAGATCCATTTCCTGCACTCATTGTAAATAGTACAGGCATGAAAATGACCAAAAGTGTAAAATTGTTGAATGAATTGATATGCAAAAAAACAAGAGTGGTGTTACATACATTAATTAATATATTAAGTAATGTACAAATACTAGTTATGACATTATTATTGACCCCACTCATTAATTACATTACAAATATCAAAAATTTCTTAAATTATGTCACATCATCAATTAGTACATTAGTTAGTATACTAATTGGTTGGTGTATATAACATTATTCAAAAAACAATGATAGGTTTGTACAAGAAAAAAAAATTCCCATGAAAAAATATATCACAAAACATTGATAACATTAATGAATATAGCCAAGATGACCAAAAATATACCAAATATCTGACATTATTAATGAAGTAATTAATTCAAGAAGTAAAGATGATAAAAAAAAAATTGTATAATTGTTGAAGGAATTGATATGCAAGTCCTAAATATGCACCTGGTGTTCCAGTGGGAGATGCCGCGGGGGAAGTAGCTGCCCAATCACGAAAAACAGCGAAAAAAATTAGTTAAATTGAGATGCATATATTATTCCTATAGTTTATAATTTATTTATTTTCTCTATTACATGAAGGAAAATTTCACAGAATATTCTCACCATTACAGCGGCTAATAGGGGGAGTCTGGAGATTGCAAGCATTGGGGAGAGACAAAGCCAGAGTCTGATTTATGCTAATCCCAAGCGACGAGCTGTTATTAATGACCTCACACAGACACTGTGGCTGTGACCCGAGCACATTGGCTAGCTGTGCGCAGCATCCAGAAGATGGGGTCGAGGAATTTCCAGTTATATAATTTAGGCACGGAGATAAGCTTATGAGCACATTGGTGCAACTAGACTGAGCCATGGTTCCGGTCCAAAAAGCTGCTATGAAAACCATGGTTAGTACCATCTCTATTTTTTTGGCTTCCATTGGAGGTTGATAAATTTCACTCTCTTTTTCTCTGATTGATTTGAATGAAAAGAGAGGGATGTGGTTTTTAAAGGGTGAATTGGTAAAGCACAGGGCTTAGTGGGTTACCAACTTTTCCTACCTCATCAGGGATTATTGAATAATGCTATATGCATTAATTAGTATATTAACTAGTATATTAATTGATGATGTGATATAATTTAAGAAATTTTTGAAATTTGTAATGTGATTAATGAGTGGGGTCAATAATAATGTCATAACTAGTATTAACATAATTTAAGAGATTTTTAGTATTTATAATGTGATTAATGAGTGGGGTTAATAATAATATCATAACTAGTGTTAGTACACTAATTAGTACAGTAATTGGTGCATGTAGTATCACCAGGGATTATTTGGTAATATACTAATTTTTAGGGCAAATTGAACACGTAGTTAATTTGTTTGGGTCAGGCTTCTCTTTAGTTCGAGATCAGACTGTAGCGTGCTGTTGGGCCGTGAGGGCTCACCACAAATCCTGTTTCGATAATCCAAACCATTCAATGTGTAGAACTCGTCGAGTACTTTATCTTTGTAAAAAATCATGTTAATCAGATATCGATAGATACTTGATCATATCAGATTTCTGTAAATGGTAAATATAATTTTAAAAATAAATTGTTGACAAAAATCTAATCCGATCAAGTAATTATTGATATCCAATCAACATGATTTTTTCTAGGATAAATTACTCGATGAGCTCTACACATTAAACGATTCGGATTATCGAAATAAGACCCATGGTGAGCCCCACGTGCCCAACAGCACTGTCGGAGACAAGCCTATTCCAATTTATTTATTGTGTTAATTTGGTCCCTATAATTTTAATTGTATCATTTTTACCTCATAATTCTTCACACTGTGTCAATTTAATTCAATTAATAGCATTAATTTGACTGAAATTAAAGGTAAAATGATTCATTCAAAAAAAAAAGAAAAAAAGAAAAAAGAGGACAAATTCAAATTAGACGCTAACTCCTCAATTATTTTGATTAGAGTGAATGGACTACTTTACATTTTACTTTCAACCAATTTTTAAAAAGGTGTTGTCAATTAAATTAATTGAGATAATATAAAAAATTTAAAAATAAAATTGATACAATTAAAATTATGAAAACCAAATTGATATCACACACAAACGATAAGGACTATGTGTTTAATTTGCCCATTTTTCTATTACATTTAATTTGCCCAATTTTCTATTAAATGTTTTCTTGTGATTTGCTTGAAGTTTTGAGTTGGTTTTGATATATATAATTTAGATGGTGATGCACAAAGAAGCTGATGAGTTTTATTTCCACATTTTTTTTTATAGAAAAATGCTCGAAATATTGAATTTATCACCTTTACAAATTCAAATTTTAATTTACAAAACATTCTATCATTAAGATTAATCTCAATATCACATCATTAAAAATAATTTAAAGATAATAAATTAATGAGATATAATATTAATTTTCAGTGGTTTTTCAAAGGCAAAAATCATGTTTTGAAGTTCCAAAAATGGAGGGGTTAGCCTCCCCTCCTTGTGCGTGTGTGCTAGTATTAATTCTTCAACATTTTAGCTTATTGTTTTAGCTATTTTTGTCTTCATTTTAGCACATTTTTGAACTGTTTCAGGACTGTTTTTAGCTGTTCATTGCATTTGAGCTTTGTATTGCATGCTTGTAATGTAATAGTCCTCATAGGTTTGGTGATTTAAGCCTTAGCCACCAACCTATTTGAGTTGATAGTAGGGGTGAGCAGTGGTTATACCAATCCGCCCAAACCGACTGAACCAAATTGATCCTCTACATTTTGGATGGATACGTGATGACGAGCGGATGGTTACAGATTGAGTTTTTCCAATCCGCCTAATTTTGGACGGATGACGGATTTGAGATTTCTTTGACCGCAACCGAATCGTCAAACCGCGAGCACCCATAGTAATTGTAAGACTTTGTGTTTTCAATTTGTTTAGATATTTTGTTTGTGTTTTCAATTGAAAAAGAGTTTAAATATTTTGTTGAATATATTCTGTTGAAAAATAGTTTTCAACTTGAATATAGTTTTTGAATTAACAAAATAAATGTATTATTTATCTATATTTTTTGATTTTTAAATATAACTTTAAAAATAATAAATAAAAAAGATGATATATGCTGGTTGATTTTTATTTTCAAAAGTAGATATAGATGTAATAATACAGAGGCATACAATCTCTACTACTGCTTTGTTTATGGTTTTAGTGATTTGAATTGTTTTTATATTTTAAGAACCACATGTTGTAATACTTTATGTAATATTTTATGTGGATGAGGCATGCTGTGATTGTAATATGTGGATAAGGCATGCAGTCCTGAAATTTCAAACTTTTTTTCTTTGGATGAGACTGTTGGACAATCTTCACGGGATTTAAGTTGATTAAATTCTGCTGTGTACTAAACAACAACTAGAATATAAAGAAATAAAGGAAATGAGAGAATTCGTTTGATTACAAAAATAAAATTAAAATCTGATTTAAATAAACAAATAAAACAGAATAATAAATTAAACAACTTACTTGATTAATTTCTTTGAATAATTATCTGATCAAGTCCAGTGTTTGACAGTGTGTCCTTAAGACAGATTCGTCCTCTCCTCGGTGCTTTTAGAATTTGGACGTCTATCTCCCATGATAAAATGATCTACTACAAATAATAGCAGCACTACAAATTGTTTGTCTTACGAACACACTAAGTGTTTAAGAAAATAATGCAACAAAATGAAAAATGAATTTGCAGAGCTCTTAAGGACGAAAATAATGAATTTTCGGAATGACAAACATCAAATAAGGGTTGTCCTATTTATAAATGTAATGGTGGCTGCAGATTTTGAATTAAACAAGTGCAAACCTGTTTGAACAGGTATGAACCTGTTGGTTTTGAATTCAAACATATTTGAATCTGTTGGGTTTATAATTCAAACAGATAAAAAACGGGAAGAGCCCTGTTTGGATGTACAGTAAAACCGGACCAGTTTATTTCCGGTTTAATTTGAATTCTGAATTTTATTTTACCAAAAATAAAATTAACCAAAAAGATTAGTATTGGGCCGAACAAGCCCAACCCAACCACACACCACGCATCCGCGCCCAAGCCCAGGCCCAAGCCAGCCCGCCCGACCGACCGAACTGACAGCGGCGGCTGCACGCGTGCGTGGTGATTTTTGGGTCCAATGGGTCTAGCCCATTTTTCCTATAACCTCTCCCTCTAAAACACTTGAGTACCCCTTGGGGCACACCCCACGTACCAAACCCATGCCTTATAAACCCATTCAAAACTTCCCACCAAATCAATGTGGGACAAGCCTTATTACAACCTTAAGGAATTTCCACAAAAACTCTATTTTCATGGAGCACACTTTGGTTTCAATTTCCCATTCACTCGGTAATGGTTTTGAGCAACCAGATCTACCACGTGAATCACAACGCGGCATAGAACGCGTTACCACTTTGACCCGTGAAAATCGACGCACGGGGCCCACCTTGTTACTAAAACTAGAAAAATAAAATACCACAATAATTTTCTGTAACACATTAATATTCTGCAATTGTTAATGACACCAGTATATTACTACTAGTTGTTAAAGAAAAGATACGGTATATTACTACTATCTATCAAATAGCATAAATCACTATTTGTTTTTTCCAACCAGAATATGTCTTATATTATTTTATTTTTCTTGTTACTAAAACTAGAAAATACTGTAATTTTATTTTCCTTGTTACTAAAACTAGAAAAATAAAATACCACAATAATTTTCTGTAACACAAATTAATATTCTGCAATTGTTAATGACACCAGTATATTACTACTAGTTGTCAAAGAAAATATACGGTATATTACTACTATCTATCAAATAGCATAAATCACTATTTATTTTTTCCAACCAGAATATGCCTTTAAATAATCACAGAAAATTAAATACAATGAAGATACCAAAATGGAGTCTGTCTTAAGATTGTGTTATAATTTATTTTCTGGTTTTAGTAACTAGAAAATTAATTTGTGTTTTAATTTTTTCTAATTTTTGTAATCAGAGATTATGTCTACTGCAACTGAAACTGCAACTGGTAGTGGTACTTCGATTGTTACACCAACACCGGTCCCTATCCAAAACCATGTTCATGTACCAATAAATCATGGAGAAAAACCGGAAAAATTTAACGGTACTGAGTTTAAGAGATGGCAGCAGAAGATACTGTTCTATCTTACAACTCTTAATTTGGCCCAATTTCTCCATGAAGAGGCTTCAGCACTTAAAGATGGTGAAAGTGATCGGCAAGTTGTTGTCTCTGTAGTTGCTTGGAAACATTTAGATTTCCTGTGCAGAAACTACATCCTCAATGGCCTTGACAATATGTTATATAATGTATACAGTCCTCTGAAAACAGCAAAAGAATTGTGGGATTCTTTAGAGAAGAAATACAAGATAGAGGATGCCGGTATGAAGAAATTTGTTGTCGGTAAATTTCTGGACTTTCTTATGGTAGACTCCCGAACGGTAATATCTCAAGTACAAAGTTTTTCAGATAATTTTGCATGATATTCATTCAGAAGGTATGTCTCTTAGCGAGTCTTTCCAAGTCGCTGCTTTAGTGGAAAAGTTATCACCGGTTTGGAAAGATTTCAAAAATTATTTAAAACATAAACGCAAAGAGATGACCATGGATGAACTTATTGTAAGACTGAGAATTGAGGAAGAGAACCGAAAGGCTGAAAAGAGGAATGGGAAAAATCCCATTGAGTCCAAAGCTAATGTGGTTGAACAAGTTCATAAACCACATAACAAAAAGAGAAAGTTTACTGGAGATGGTACTAAACAAGGCGACAACAATGGTAACAAGAAGTTCAAAGGAAAAATGCTATAACTGTGGCAAAACTGGACATCGAGCTTCTGACTGTCGCCGCCCTAAGAAGGATCATGAAAGTACAAGCAAGAAGACCAACAATCAAGCCAATGTAAGTGAATTAGA